AAGGTTTCCCCTTTGGGTATATCACACAAAAAACTTGACTATATCGAACCATAAATATGTATTATTATTTTTATCAAATATATCGGACCACTTTCCGTAAAAAACGAATTTCAATTAAAAGGAAACAAAATTCAAGGAAACAATGAAATGGTGCCATAGGTACGAATTATCCGAACAGTTCAGCCCTGGTGCAATACTCGAAATATTTTTCGTACAAAAATTCCCAGGAACCATAAAAAAAATCTGACAAAATTGAAAAACTACCAGATTTTTGCAAACGAACATAAGATTTTTATAAATATGTGGCAACATCATATTTCGAACAACACTCGAACATGCTAATTACAACCAACTTAAGTCGAACTTAAAGTTCTTCCTTCTTTCTTATCCATTCGCCGACACGAGCAGTTCTTTATTTTCTAATGATTTATTCTAAAATCTATATATACTCATATACAAATATATATTTTTATAATTATAACCAATTCAGCATATAGTATTCTACGTAACTTATCGTATACAACTAAGTTTTCAGTTAATTGAAAAAGTATAATCTCTTAAACTCATCATTATCTGTGTTCCTCCCATGACTTACCAACTCATCAACGTCGGATCTAGGGGCTTCGTGGGTGATTTGGCATGCTAACCGGCTGAATGATCGTGGTCAGCGTTTTGCCTTCTCCAAAACGTGTGCTGACTTTGCATAGTCTTGGGAAATTTCCCTTCATTCTTAATTAGTTATTTATTGTTATCTCCCACCTTTGATATCGTGGCGCTACTTTATTTCAGCTCGCCGTTTTATTGTCTTTTACATCAGTGTCAAGGTGCCGGTGTCAGGGTGTCTTTCCGAAGAATCATAAATTGAGAAAGAGTCTTTTCCATCCAATCACAGATCCAATAGTCAGAGCATATTTATTGAAGATAAATCTCACTTTTAATTAACAGTTAATCAATCATCTTATAGATCATATGAGACAGCTCGCCAAAAGAAAAGATATGTTATATAATATTTAAGTAGCCTGCTGCTTTTAACTTCAATAAATCACTACTCTTCCTTGAATACCCACGGACGATTTTGACGAATCCCTCTTTGTTCTTGTTATTGTGTTGCTTACGACATTTCAGCGAATGTTGCAGGTGCTTTTATTGCGGCGAAACCGCGTGCCGCGTCTAATTCGATCAGCGTTGTCCTTGTGATTTGTCCTAACTGTTCACACATACAGCTTTATACATATACTTTTGAAACATTTTTTTTTTAATAAATCTTTTTAAGCATCCAGTTCATATCCTGCCACTAGTTTAGAAATATAAATATATGACGTATTTCATATGCAAAACACATACATACACATATACCTCCACTCTTCCATACATCACAAGTAGCTTCTTATCCACTTTTTATATTCCTATCCTTCTGCTTTATTAAATATTCATGCGTTTCAGCAGTTTCCCCGATTCGCCATCGAGGCGGTCGGCTGTTCGGCTGGTCGGTCGGTCGGTCGGTCGGTTTATTATCCGGTGTGACTGTCGCAAGCCAAAAATTCTTGTGGCGTACTTTATGCACTCCTGTGCTGTCCCGGCTGGTTTACTATGAAAATATTATATGTGAAAGTATACTTATGTGTGTGTATGTGTGTGTGAGGCCATATGCACAACAAATTGCCCCATGAATACTTGAATGCTAACCCTTTTGATAACTCTTTGATTTGTGCTCGCACTGCTTGAGAATTTTCGAGTGTTCGCAGCAGCTCCACATGCCTTTTTGTCCTTAGTGTCCTTCTTAACTTCACGCTACTCTTTCTACTTTACAGCCTCGGCAGCTGTGACTACTTATCTTTCGTTTCCTTGCACCGTGTGTTTGTCGACTTGTATGTATTATTATGCATGGGTTATACTTATGCGAAGCTTAATTAACTTAAGTTTGATTTATAAAACCACTCACCATTCACCACTCACCATGGGTGCTCCATAAAATTTTTAGTGATTTGTTTTGTTTTTACTATTTGTATTTTTTTCTTACTTGAGCAGTAGCGTTGAGTTTCATACATTTTATTGCTATTTTTTGAATTTGAAATATGCAAAAATTAAAAATGCATAAGTCGGTCGTCGAAACCGAGCTCAATGCGAGTTATGACCAGTGTGTTTTGATGTCGGTATATAAAACAAGCTTACATTCTCTGTGACGTTTTCTGGCAGCTTCTATATCCAAATTGCTAACAGTGCGTGCTACTATACCAAACCTGGCCAGACCAATTTCGAGGTTTGGTATATTTGTCTGAAATTCTGTATGCGATCGTCTGACGGGGCTAAATGTCAATCCCTCCATTTGTAATTCCTGCAACGATGAGATCTTCGTAAAAAAAACTATCAGCCAGTCGGAGACGACTTAAAAAATTATATCCCTGTAGAAAATCGAAAGCTTGACGGCCGCAGCTCAAAAATTTCATAGAGAATATGGTCGTAAATTCCGAGGGACAGGATTCATTAGAGACAATATCGAAGCAGCTCGTGAGAGTGTCGATAAAAATCCCGGAACCTCGATTCGGCGTTTACACAAGAATTACAAATTTCAAGAAGCTCTTTCAGCGTATAAACATATATATACAGCGAAGAGAGTTTGTTGAATGAATTATTATGTATGACGAAACGGATGTTGATTTTTCGAGCGAAATCATCAATTTTTGATGGATTTGTTAACCGGTAAAATTGCCGCTTTTAGGGTTCGAAAAACAAATGCATACACAATGTGTTACTGGTGTTCGACATCGCGACGTGATAACCCCATTTTTTAACAAAATTGCTTGATATTGATGCGGTCAATATTTGATTTCAACAAGACGGTGCCACATTTCATACAAACGTAAAACACTTCAATTACAGTATGAGACATTTCCTGGTCGTGTACTCTCTTGTTTTTGTGATCAGAATGCCTCTCTAGATCATGTGATCTTACCCTATTAAATTCCCTTTTGTGAAATTTATTAAAATTATAGTTCTTTTGCAACAAGTCCACAACCATGCCAATCACGTCAATGAAGTTTATATGGAGTAGTCATGGATATTTTCGACTAAAATGTGCGTACGTGTATGTTTATCGGAAGCGGTGGAAGCCATTTGCCCGCTGCGTTAATTCATCCTATCCTTGTTACTTTATGATTAAATAGGAAAATTACAATCGAGGGACTAAAACATTTGCGTTAATTTTGGGACAACTATTAGTTACTTAATTGTTAGAGACCTGTGAAATGTTTAAAAATTGAAGTTTTTGACGTAGTTTCGTTTTTTTTAACCGTTTTCGCTCTTAAGCTTCTCTTAAGTTGCAACTACAAGGACACATAAATATTTATACAGCATTTAGATCAATGGTGCAATGAGATGCTGAGTAAAGAATATGTTTACTCTTGTTAAAACACAGATACTTCAATGCCGCAATTCGGGATCTCTCTCTATCACCGAATTCTTGATTTATCTTATTGGTACAAATATTTCCTTTTTGCGCTATACCTCTCTGATTCAGTATAATTATCGTCCTATTTGTTTTGTAAAAAATTATTATTATTTTTTGTTTTAATAAAAGTTTCCGGCAAAGCAGATATTAAGGGTAAATACATAGCGTAGAGCAATAACCTAAAAAGAAATCTTTTGGTGCAAATCTTTTTGGAGTGGACTTTCCAAACATAATATTGAATCGCAACAGGAAAACTAGGACCCTCCCCTGATTTTGGGGCAAAAATCGGGTCAAGTTTGTTGTTTTTTTTTGTGGGAGAATGAATAGGCGTACGAACTTCCGGTCTTGATAATCCAATTTGTATGTTATTTGAGATTTTAAAACGACAAAAAAATAGTCGAACTTTAAAATGGTGGCATCTTCCGCGCGAAAATCAATGGCCAAAAACTTCAAGCCTACAGCCTGTTGTATTAAACTGAAATCAAAATTGGTTGCCATTACTTGAAGATCATGAAATTTTCCACGTCCTGAACCTTAAATGAAACAATTTTAACAATAAATTTATTGCATAATGCTCATTGCAAATATAAAGTTAAATTTTTTGCTACATTTTTCACTTCAATTACGTTAGAAAATATTAATAAAAAATTATTAATGCTAATTTTAGGTTCAAGACGTACAAAAAGTACAAAAAACTATACACTTTAAAATAGCTTTTATATAAAAGAAATCGGAGATCGGAAAACATAGTTTCGAGAAAAACGCGTTCAAATTTTTTTGAAAGTTTGCCTTGCGCTCGTGAGTGCTTGAGACAGGTGTGTTCGAGAAGCTGCCATTTGAAAAATTTTAATTGTATTGCTAAATTCCTTTATATATGGCTTTCATTTTTTGAGTAAAAAGCAATCCATGTTTTTGATCCAGCATCCATTTTTTTATCCAAAATCAAGGGAGGGGAGGGTCCCTTAATTGAAATATTCAGAATTCTGGCTCGAGCTGAATTTTTACGCTTCTAATTATTATTGCGCCTTACCTATATATCCAATTTACCGTTTTAAGGGACGACTGATTAAGTTATTTAATTATATAGTTAGTTACTTGATTTTTTCCTAATAAAAAGTTCCTCATTCGACTTGACCCAGTTAAAACATATTCGTATAATAATGCTTCTCTTAAACTAATGAATTTTTTTTATATAAAAACATCTTTTCAACTCCAATAAGTGAATAAACAAAATTAAATCTTAACTAATTACATACTAATATATACTTTTAGCTGTGCTAATTATAGCAAGGCATCAATTTAAAAGACAAGTAAATGCCTTGAACACCACTCGAGAGGGTGTGTGTTTATGTTTGAAAGTGTTTTTGTATTATATTTCATGGAATATTTATTCTTTATCTAATTTTCGTCATGGCGTCATAACGCTGATGTTTACGTTATAATTCCATTGAAAAGCTAATATTTTCTTCTTAATATGAGCAAATATTATCTCATCTTGTTGTTGTAGATAACAGTGTAATAATTTATAAAATCTTTTTGCATTGGCTTTCAGGAAATCGCAGCGATTCTTATCAGTTTTGATAAGCACAATGAGTGGCAGTCCAAGGAAGTCAAAACCAGGTGAGACAAAACAAAATTTTACGGTTTTTTGCGTAGTAGAAATAATTGTGAGCTCATTAAACTATTAAGAAGATTTGTGTGTGTAACTTAGACCAAAAATATTTAAAAATATTTCCATTATTCATGGCCAGACCAAGTTTACAAATATTGAAAAAAAAAAAAAATATTTAAATTGAGGTCGCCTCTCGGCAGAGAATGTCAATAGAGGAGAATATATAGATTTGACATGAAACAAAAAGCTCCGCACAAAAATCCATCAACCATTCGGAAGTGGCATATATATATATAAGTTTCTTTTATACTGCTGTGATAGTGATATTTTTTGGACTGTCGCAATAATTTGGCCATGAGTTGTCATATAAAAAAAGATAGGATCATAAATATTGTTAGATATTAATCAGTTCTTAAAGTTCTCTTTAGACCCAGAGAAAGGGAAAAAACAACTCGCCCCGCGCAGGCTAGGGTTTAATTTACCCTTGTTAAGCTATGCTTGCTGTAAGAGGTTACTACAATAAAATAAATAGTTTCCGCGACAGTCGGAAACAACAGCGATCTTTATTCGGTCAAGGTCTGTCAATTCTTCAGTATTCCACAAAAGCCATTTTGAAAAATATGACAAGAACAACAGATTTTTCCCTTTCATAGGTAAAATTAAAGGATAAAAGACACGGCTTTACTTAGCGCCTCCTATCGATGGCAAACGGCAAACAGGAATAAATGACTAGCATGCTATTGTGGAATCGGCCACAATCGCGTAAGCAATGTTTGCGGTAATTAATTAATAAAAAGAAAAATATGGCAGGATGTGCCCCCGTCTCAAATCCGCTGCGAAAAGAATAAAAGGATTAGAAGAATTAATGTTGAGTACAAATTATCTTTTGAGTCCAACTCAAAGAAGACGCTAATTGTTGACCAGATATGAATTCGAGAAACTCCTTTAGTAACTCACGCAGCTGCCCACTCGGCGCCAACAGTTCCTACTTGCACATGAATGCTAAATATAATATGTATAAATTAGTAATCTTACTTTATCTAATTCTTCATTCTTTACGCTTTCAGACCGAAAAGCGGTTCACTGCTTCTGTACTCTCGGAAAAAGGTGCGCTACCGACGGGATGGCTATTGTTGGAAGAAACGCAAGGATGGCAAAACAACGCGCGAGGATCACATGAAGCTAAAAGTGCAAGGAACGGAGGTAATGTACCAGGCGAAGGTGGTGTTGTTGTCATTGTTAAGTATTGTACTTAAGCAGCCAGAAAAAGGCTGCTTCTTATGTGTTGATAATTTCCGCATATCATTTGGCATTTTTTTTTTTTGTTTTCATATTTTTTATTAGTAGTTTTTGTCCACTCGGCCGGACAACACTTGCTGTGCAATTAGGCAATTAGTGCCAACTCCATGCGCTTGCTTGTTTTGCTTCCTTCCTGCCTTGCAGCTTTGTCGATAACTTTTTTGTGAACACTTTTTTCCACACGCTTTTCCCGGCCGCTACTTCTGACGATGTTGTGGGCCGTGTTTGGCCACTTAAGATTGGCGTCGTCGTTAGTCAGACGCTGCCATGAAATTAATTTACAAGATAATGAAAACAAAGCCAGCAACACGAAATGTATTTAAGAAAAAGTAACTAATTTTTTTTAGTTTTCTTCTTTCATTGTATGTTCGGGTGTACGTGTCTTCTCACATCTATTCTATTTTGGCTTATTTGCTGGTGGCGGCTGCTCATGTGCAGCATACGTTGTGTTGCTGCCTGCCCCAAGGGTTGCTTGCTGGGTCGAGCAGCTTGTTGGTTGGCCGGTGTATCCATGAGTTATGATTTCCCGCCGGAAACATACATGGAGTGACTGTTTGCTATTTTTTGCATTACTGACGCCCTTTTCGATACGAAACTACTGCCAGATAAACATTTTTCTTTTTCTACTTTTTTTTTTTTTTTTTGCAATGGATTGTGGAATATTTTTTTAGCAGGGGTGTGCTAACATGGGATAAGCTGCTAATGCAATAAGTTTAAGGGTTAAGTGTATTTACAAGTCTGAAGTGTATAAACTTGCCGACCCATCAACGAGCTCACGACCCCGGTTCACACAAACTTGCATTGCGGAGGTATGCTTCGCGGTGAGTCTGGTGGTGGGGTTATTGGTAGGGGATGGAGGAAAATTTTGTATAATTTCACGCCAATTTTTTCGAAATGCCGCCTTTGTTTTATTGCGCTGTTGGCTGGTCGTGATTTTTGTTGTTTCAATTTTTAAATGCCTTTGTTTGTAATTTTTTGCACTTATTTTTGCTCTCTCTCTCTATTTCTTTGCACATTGCACATTGCGCTGTCAAAGGGCTTTTTTCTTCATTTTACACTCCTGTATCTCGTTCGTTCGCTAAGCAGTATCAAGATTTATGATTTGTTTAAAGACGGAAGCGCCAAGACATTGGCTCTGCCCCAAGCCCTAGTCTCGCCAACATGGGCTGTCATTTCAACTTGCATTGGGAAGCGATAAGCAATTGTTTTGGCGCTCGGTGTTAGCATAGAGCGGGTGTCTGGCATACAGGGGGAGGGAAGTTTCGCGTATTTTACGATGTCTCTGTTGGCGGCATCAGCCGTCAGTCATCAGCGGGCGGCATTCGGCGCACAAAAAAATCCTATTTATCTTCTGGACGTGCAAGTTAACGTCGTGAAGTAAAGAAATCGTGAGACTTGTTGGTGGAATGTGGGAAATATTTAATATTAAAAAAAAGGGTTGAACCTTGGCAAAAGGAAAAAAACTGTTACACTAAGTTTTGCCATTTGATCAAAGCTTGCTTTTTTCCTTAAGGAGTTTATTTTTTCTGGGCACAGCGTGACACATCCATAAAACAAGAGTAATTCAATTTTACCCACACTATAAGTTTTTGCAATATTTCATATTCTAATTAAATAAATTTGTTTTCACTGTTATTTTCCTCGAGATTTTAGTGCATTTTTATGTTTTTGTTTTTCTCTTAGCCAAATGCTGATTCAAGGTGTGCGAATAGAAGAACTTTGAAAAAATTTAGAGCAACAAAAATATTTTTTATAAACAGCAAATATATTTGTTTACGTACATACATAACAAATTTCAATTCAAATATTTTTTCCCGTACTCCTTGTAGTGTATCTACGGCTGCTATGTGCATTCGGCCATTCTACCAACTTTCCACCGCAGGTGCTACTGGCTGTTACAGGTGAGCAGATTATCAATTTTAATATTAAATTTTTTCTTATTCCAATATTAGTGTTTAGTAAATTTAAATATTTCTGATTTTACCCGCCTGAGTCCGGCGAACTCAGTTTTCCAAAATCTTTTTTTAGTATTAATTTTTAACGTTTTTACTTTTAACAGTAAAAATTTTTAAATTATTAAGCGATATCTTAAAGGATTGAAAATCTAAGAGGTTACGACTCATAAATTTATATTATTTAAAAAGTTTTTTTTATAAATATGTATATATAAATATATATAATTGGCGCATCTTGATGTTATGCAACAAATGGAGGGACCTACAATTTATTATAAATTTATTATGAGTGACCGATGGCGTGTCGACCATATACTCGGAGGTCCTGCCGAAGGCCCTCCGCAATGAGATAAATAATTTTTGTATTTTGGTTGTTCGTTGAACCAGTACTCGAATTATCGCCTCGGGAGTTTTTGAAAGCTACGATCCGTCTGAGATAATTTTCGACCATTTTTTTTTTGGCACATATTAGGCGATATGTCAGCCATAATTGGACGAATGTTTTTTGTTTATGAGTCAAGAGCTGAACATTTAAAGGTTTACCCGTATAAACGCAGTCTTTCATGTAACCCCACAAAAGACGTCCAGCAGTGTCAATTACCACGATCTCGGTGCCCACTTGATAACCCAAGACGAGAGTTACAGCGGCCGGAAAATCTCTGTCGCAATAAAGCTATATTCGCACGTGTTGTGTGGTACCATCTTGTTGGAGCCACGCATTATCCAAGTCGGTCAACATGTGACCATAACACCTCGAATTGACAGAGTCTCGCCCTTATCGTTTTCAAAAAAGTAAGGTCCAAACACACCTTTAGACCAAAGAGTTTGGACGTAGAAAAATGAAAAAATTGAAAAATGAATGTTAGCTCAAAATTTTCTGTAATAGTTGTGATTCAATGTTCTGTGTATAAGATAGGTTAAGTACTTTATCAGAACTCTTGACGACCGGCTGTGAAAACACAATTTAATTTTTTTATTTTAATTAATTTTTTAACGCGCACTTTCCCAAGTCTGTAACTTCGAAACTTATCTTCGAATCGACATGAAAATTTGAGATAGTATACTTCCAATACTGAAGATAGAAATTGATTAGACAACAAAAAATTAGATTTTTGAAGCTGTAAAAGATGCCAAAAAATATTTTTCATTGCATAATAATTACATTTTTTCCAACCAGAATCCAGACATAGTATTGGTACATTATCTGAATGTACCATATCCGGATGATAATAAAATGGCTGTTATTGCGCCGAGTATTACGCTCTGGGGTGATAAGAAGGAGTGGACCAAAGAGGAACTTGTCAATCAACTAAAACCCATGTGTAAGTATTGTGTGTTTGATGAATATTTTATTCTTTACTAAATTGATTTTATCCTCTAAAAAATAGTCAATATCTTCTCTACTAAGTTATTTGACTATAAATTTTTTTTTTCTGAGCTATGTTTTTCCATTTAATATTTTTTGCCTTGCAGTTTTTTTGAACACAGTCAATCACTATTTTTTTTTAAACCATTGAAATTTAAATTCGCCTTGTTTTTACTCAATTTTCGTTAGCTCCGGCGAACGTTTATAGCTAAGTCCGAAATTGTCGTGCTAATTACTTCTGCCATTTGCTGATACCTGAAGTAAAGATTCCCCTTTTGCTCTGCTACCAGCAACGGGCATCTACTTAATAGTATTTCAGAGTTTTGTCTATTCAACTGTTTGTACAGTTCGCTCTGTCCTTATTCATAATCACACCAATTCGCCTCGCTTGCATGTTGGTCGCAGAAGCTACTCCATCAGTCGTCGAGAATTAATGACGATGGTGGTCTGATAGATGACATGAGCTCTAAATTTAATTTAATTGTGGTTATATTATCAGGTGTACAACTTTGCTTCCGCCGTTTTCCGATAGGTGGCTGTACCGTCTGAGGCTGGTTGAAATACATAGATGATTATGCCTTTAAAGTGAGTGTGGACAGTGCCTAACGAATTGTCATCGCCGTTTCACTGACGGTTTTTCTTGTTTTCGTATTATTCACGCTCGAAAATGTCCGTTTATGTGCCTAATCCTCGCCATTTGCGGGAAGTTTTACTTTTCTGTTACAATTCGAAAAAAAATGCAGCTGAAGCGCATCGAATGCTCTCGGAAACTTACGGTGATGCTGCTCTGAGTGAAAGAACGTGTCGGGAGTGGTTTCAACGTTTTAAAAATGGTGATTTCGATGTCGAAGACAAACAAGGTTATGATTTGTACTTGGTGGGATCAGCTCGATTTACTACAAGCTCTTAAAACCGGGTGAAACCATCACAGGAGATTGCTACCGAACGCAACTAATGCGCCTTAGTCGCGCGCTAAAAGAAAAGCGGCCACAATATCAAGAGCGACCGACAATGCTCGGCCTCCCGTCGCAAAAGTGGTCAAAAAATACCTGGAAATCCCCCAACCGCGGTATGCCCCAGATGTCGCCCCTTCTGACTTCCACCTATTCCGTTCGATGGCACACGGCCGGGCAAATCAACATTTTCAGTCCTTCGAAGAATTGAAAAAAAAGGATAGCTTCATGGATAGCGTCAAAAGAGGACTCCTCTTTCGAGCCGGGATCCGAAAATTACCGGAAAGATGGGAGAAAGTTGTCGATAGCGAAGGACAACACTTTGAATAATATATCTGTAAGCATTTTTTCGCAATAAAGCTTTTTAATTTTGGAGAAATATTTGCGGAAGCAAAGTTGTGCATCTGATATTATGAACTGTTTTGAAAATGAGATTTGTGACCAGGGTCTTTTTTTGGGGCAAGGAAGGAATCGTTAATCATTTTTCTACTCACAAAGCTTTTGTCAAAGGCTCTAAATCACCTGGGTTGGGGTTAAAAAATACTACCAGCACATTGATCTCGTTTTACAAGTTACATGAGACTTTCTCTTGAGTATCGACGATAAATTTCGACGTCGATTGTACTTCTTGAGTCTGTGAACTTCTTCATTCACTTCTCTATCCCGCTGCTTTGAAGGACAAAGTCAATAGTATAGGAAACGATCTTAAAAACCTACAATATCTGTTGTTGATGGTATTACATGCAAATACAATAACAATTTGATCAGCATAACAACAAGTCTTCGGCGACTCTATATTAAATATTAACTAGTATTTTGCTAAAATTTTTTTTGGAGAATAGGAATAGAGAGAGAGAGCTAGGAAGGCATTGCTAGTCGCCCAACAGCTGATATAAAATTTTCAAATGATTACCAAGGACAAATTAATAGTTTGAAAAACTCTTTTGTGGAATTTGACCAGAGAAGAAAAACTAAGTGGCTTAGTCCTAAAGAGTGTTGATCACAAAAAAAAAAAATTATTTTGTTATGATGAATCAAAAAAAAAAAGATTTTTTGTATGAAATATTTAACTTTCACAAATGGTTTTATCTTAAATAAAATAAGTAGAAACCAATAATGTATTTTACTACTTCTGAATTAATCTAATTTTTAAAGACTAAACTGGAATTCCAATTTATTCACTTGTTTAGTATCAACGGCTACTTCGGATGACGACTCTGATTCCGGCAATGATATAGAAATATCGGTAATTAGTTTTTTCTTTTAATTTATGTAAAAATTTTCACTCAATATTATTCGATTTTCACTTTCGCTTGTTCTACCCCAATGAACTTAAAGACGGCTGAGACTGTTGAATCTTTAGTGTGTCAATTGATGGAAAAGCAGCGTTTGTCACGCCAAGCTGCTTTAGTCAAGCAGCTGGACTGCGGTTGCGGTGATGCTTCGTGTGCCGATGGAAAAACTTGCTCTCACCCAGTTATGCGGCGACCGACTTTATTAAAATCGGTTAGCGAGAAACGGCTTAGTATTGCCGATGGTTATGGAGCGGGCACGAGCGGTACGCCAAATGTAGTGATTGGCCAAAAGGTACGTTCGCTGAATAAAAAGGTCTAAATGATTGCTGTTATCATTTAATGTTCATTTCTTATCATTTATTTATTTTGTTGAATTCTTTGTTTTTTTTTTTTGTTTCTTTGCCAGCTTTACTCGCGTTGGTCGGAACGTCGATTGCGTGATGCAAGTGATCAACAACATCATCAGTATCAGTATAGTCATCATCTGCAGCAGCAGACCTTGCCGCAGGAGTCGGCGATTAAATTCCAAATAATTCCACCACAAAACAACGAACAACAACAACAACAAGCTTCCTATCAACATCAACAACAACAACAGCATTATCGGCAGATGGCTGCTCGAAACAATATGATTTTGCAACAACAACAACAGCAGCAGCAACAACAACTGCATCACCACCAACAACAGCAGCAGCAACAGCAGCAATCAAATTTCAATCAAAGCTCATCAACAATTTCCAACAGCAATCATAACAATCAATTAAATTTGCAACGATTTGTAGCTAATCACGTCAGCAACCACAACCACAGCAGTAGTAATAATGTCAGCAATGGCAATAATAATAATAATTCACTTGTAAATCATCGATTACAAATAGCAAAAACAACAATAACAGCTACATCAGTAGCGGCGGCTGCTGCCGTTACTGCCAGTATTGAGCAACAAGGAGCCGGAGGTGGTGGTGTGATGGGTATGAATGAGGCTGAACTAATTGGAAACCCCAACCATATGCCCACAAATGCCCAACAGAGCAATGCCCATGGCAATCTCAACCGCAACGGTAGTCAATTAGTGTTGACACCTCACCAGCAGCAGCAGCAGCAGCAGCAACAGCAAGGCGCAGTAAATAATAATAGCAATTACAGCTTCAATAAGCTTCAACAACAACAACAACAAACTGATGTATCCCCATCGTCTTCTACTTCTTCCACGCAACAGCAGCAACAACAAGATTTTTATAGCAGACTGCAACAACAACAACAACAACAGCAGCAGCAACAACAGAATCTACAAACAACGAATGACATAAATATGTCCTCCGTCTCCAATTCTTCCTCCCAATCTCCACAACCACAACAGCTACAGCAAATGCACCACCCACATGCGCATTTGCAATCACAAATGCACTCACACTCGCAACAAGCTAACCAACAGCAGCAGCTACGGCAGCAGCCACAGCAAGTACAACAACAAGAACAATCAGCAAATACAACGACATTAAATATTTCCTCGACGACATTCTCGTCGTCATCATCGCCTTCATCGTCGTCATTGTCGAGAGTGGAGCCGATGTGTATGTCGCCTGAGCATCAGCCATCGACACCAGTAAGCCCAACAACACTAGGCTTAAGTAGTAATAAGGATCCTTTACAACAACACCAGCAGGAAAAACAACAGCAACAGCAGCAAAAACATAAAGAATTACATGTAGCTTCCTCGCCGACTACAACACCTTCAATTCAGTCGATTATGAATGATAATGTGGGTCATCATAAACAATCAGACATTGGCGGCGATACATTGTCTGCTGAGACCACAGGGGCTGATGAAAATTTAATTGGCGAACAGGTTGGTAGACTGGGCGAAGAATTGGCTGCGCCTACTGAGAGTGATGATACGGAGGAGGTGAGTTTACACTACACGTATATATCCCCTTTATCATGTCATTCATTACGCTTTCTTTCTACTGATAGTAGATATTATCTCTTTTAAATTTTATTTGTCTTACATATTTTTCATATGTTTCAATTCAGTTAATTTAAATTTATTTTATTTTTTTTTTATTTAATTTTTTTTAAATTAATTTAATGTATTTTAATTTAATTTATTTTTATTTTATTCCTCTCTAATGGCATTTGTTTTAAACCGAGTTTTTGTATCATATTTTATTTTATTTCTTTTTACTTAAAGATGTCACCCGGCGGTGATGGAAATCACACTATAAATACTTCCAAAAACAACAACCACAACAATTGTAACGACAACAATCAAGTAACAGAGTACAACAGCAGCAGCACTACAGAAGGTTGTGTAAATATTGGTGCTTCCAACGATGGTGCCATTACGGTAAACAATGTACAACAACAACACGGATCAACACATCCGAATTCCCATGAAAATTGTGAAACAGACCATCCACCACAACAACATCAACAATCACATACAATTGATTTTGGATCGCTGGATCTGAACACCGATGGTAATGTTATCAATGGTCAACGGCAACAGCAACACCAACACCAACATGAACAACAACAACAACAATCAGTTTCACATTCCCCACACGATTTGAACGATTCATTGAGCTTCCTTAATGAGACACTTGATCTCTCGCAAGAGGACATACAACGCACGCTTATTGCGAATATGCCCTTCGGCGTGGCAAATCAGAAAGCTTCTTCGACTACGCCGGTCACGGCAGCGGAAGCTGCAGAGGCGCAAATATTGAGCTCCATCGATTTTTTGGAGGGCAATTGTGGTGGTCAGAGTGACGATGAAATTCTCGTGCCCGGCGTTACTTGTGAGGGTGATGACGAGGATGCTGACGATGTGTTTGCCAATTTGGATGCGTTCGACATGCTAGTCGAGTTCCCTGAACTGGATTTAGATGATAAACAAGCACTATCTAACGCGATTCATCAGCAACATCATCATACACAGCAGCAGCAACAACAACAACTGCAACAACAAACCAATATACACAGTCCATTGGAGCAGCTGAGCAATAACCAACCACAATGCGATACAACTTTGGCAAGCAACAAAAAGATACTAAACATTTGTGATTTCAGTCCCGAATGGGCATATACGGATGGTGGCGTCAAAGTGCTTGTAGTCGGCCCATGGACTAACAACGCGTCATACACTCTTCTTTTCGACGCACAACCAGTGCCGACACAGCTGATACAAGAAGGAGTTTTGCGATGCTGCTGTCCTCCACATGAGGCTGGCTTCGCTACACTGCAAGTGTCTTGTAACAATTTTATAATCTCCGACACAGTTTTATTCGAATACAAAACAACTCTGTGCCAAGAGCCACCCTTCGATGCGAATACAAACGATTGCCTGTACAAGTTCACATTACTTAACCGCTTGGCGTTAATTGATGAAAAAATGCAAGTAAAAGCGGAAGCAACTGCAACATTGGTGAGCATAACAAATGAGAGCAACAATACGTATTTGAATATATATATATATATGAGTGTAATAATTTTCTCACGTCTGTTTTATTTTAGTTTGAACAGCAAACACTTTTACTACATAAGAATTTTGAAGAACAATTGGTTAGCTACTGCCAACAGCTAATGAAACGTGTTTGGCTTCAAAATGGCAATAACTGGAGTGGTGGCTTCAAGGGTATGACTCTGTTGCATCTAACAGCTGCATTAGGTTATTCCAAATTGGTTTGCGCTTTACTAAACTGGCGTTCTGAGAACCCGAATATCGTACTAGAGACTGAAATTGATGCACTGAGTCGAGATGTCTACGGTTATACACCAATGGTATGGGCGGATTTTTTAAATTTTAAAAAAGCGTGTTTGTTTATCTTTCATGAACCTGAAGCAGAGAAGAGATATACCCATCCAACTTCTTATGGATGATATCAGAATAAATTTAAATTAAACTAGCTTTATTTACCGCACGGCACTAACCACCTCTTTACATGCCCCCTTAAACCGACACATCTAACTCCCGTCTCCCTCTAGTTCGATCCCGTCGAAACAGCAAGATTCATGGACCTCTAGTTAGATGACCTCTGTTTCATATTTATTATGGCAAATTTTGATTTAAATTCAAATTGGCCTCGGTTCATGAAAGTTTTAAACTCTTTGGCGTAATGCATAATTCATTGCCCCTTTTTGTTCTTTTATTATAACTTTACTTATTTTTGAAGGCTTGGGCTTGCGCTTACAATCACTTGGAAATGGCTGTCATATTGTATAAGTGGAATCATAACGCCTTGAAGATTAAGGATAACGCTCACCAAACACCTTTAGACATTGCTCATTACAAGGGGTTAGTATAAAAAGTATTATTTATTAAATTTATTTGAAATATGAATTTCTAAGTTTAAATAATAACAAATATATTTTCATCACCGCAGGCATAAAGTTCTTATGACGGAAATTTATCGCCTAGAAGAGGAACGGAACACACAAAATAAGAAAAACACATTCGGCACTATATCGCTCAGCCTAAATAAATATGCTGTAAGTTTGCAGTAAATAAATTTTATATACTTTCCATACATATAAATAATACTTAATACTAATCCAACTTAATGGGCGAAACAGCAGCTAACGGGTGTACACTCAAAATCATTAAATTCCAACGAACAATTATATGATGTTAAAGACAACGAACATGTTTTCAACTCCTTAGAGGCCCTGGACATGCAACGCAGTCATGATGGTGTGTTCCTGCGCCCAGTAGCAGTAGCAAGGTATTGAGCGTTGTTCAAATTTTGTTAATAATTTCTACTACAATGCATTTTTAATTGTAGCAATCAAAGCCCACCCAATGCTAGTCGTTTCTCGAAACGATCGTCTGTGGATAGCGGCATTAACATGGACATTCGAACGAAGTCAGGAAAATCTTTCAAAGATGTTCCGCGCTTGCAAAGGTAAATGTCGTTAATATAATATATAGTAATATAAATATATAGTGATAAATGATTTTTTTGCTTTACAGTTTCGAATCACATGACAATTTCAATTTGGCCGTGGAATCATCTCTCGATGCTTTGGCTGCAACGAATACAACGAATATACTGCTGTCGCCTACACGTAAAATGGACTTTGCGTTGTGTAAGTGTACACACATTATGTTTGTTAAATTGTTTCATAAATATTATCCAATTTAAAACTATTATATTCTTTTAAACTTTAAATATGGTTTGTTTTGTAAAAATATTTTGCGTAATTTTAATTGTTTTCAAAAATATTTTAATTACATACGTATATTTTCCTTACTCGACAATTGTATAAATTAAATTTGATTTGAAATATATTATATATTTTTTTTCCAATATTATATGTATGTACCTTATATGTGTATGTATATCAGGCGAGGTATCAACTGGCGATTCAAGTCCTTTACCCGACAAAGATCACGATGATACATCAACGATCAATAATGATGATGTAAACGATGTGACTATAAATAATGAGAACGATGGTATTGTAGGTCAGTTTGTGTGTGCGCTATGTGCTCTTTATGTAATTCATACATATGTGTATAATTCACTTTCTGTACTGTACAGTACTACTACTACTACTACTACTACTACTACTACTACTATTAGGTACATTTCTCCAGTACACAAATACAGTGCATAAAACGAATATTGTTCACATTACCGTTATTACAAATATGTACCTGTACATGACACTGAAGATGTGTACTGTATGTTGTTTACGTTATTAATTGTTGTTGTATAAATTGTTGGCGTATATGAGTAATTAATGAACTGGAAAAGCTAAGGCTACATACATATACATATATACATAACTAACAATAAAAGTGGTGTAAATATTTTCGTATTTATTCTCATTTAATTTCATAATGAGTAAAATTGGTATTTGTAAATAAAATCAAAACTTAAATTGTTCATAATTGCAAAGTGCGTTATAAATCTTAGTTCATTTATTTCGAATACTAAACAAATGAAAAGTGTTGAAAGAGTTCTGCAAATGATATTCACGTACATTTGGCCTTTTTTTTGTTGGTGGGGTATTATTTTTATTTTTATTTATTTATTTATTTTTTATTTAATTTAACTTTTTATCAAATATCTGTACAATTTGCATGTGTTATCAGTCTGTGATAGAAATATCTGTATGTATATGTATGTGTTTCTCTGTAGTTGGCTAATTAATTGATTAATTTTTTGTAATATATGTAAGTATGTATGCAAAAACAAACGTCATTAATGTTGTCAAATGCTTGTGTCAATGTATTACTGAAGTTGTACATGCCTTTAAGTGGTGGGTGTTTGGTCATGATAATAAGCTTAGAAAAAATATTGATATAAATTCATAGATTTTATACAGGTATACTCGTACTTGCCTGCTTTCTGCCAGCTGTAGTTGTTGTTCACACTTTAAGCCTTTGATGTCTACTAACAGAGTTACAAATGCAATACATTTAATTTGTAAACTTTGCTATTTCATTTTCTAGGGGATTCTGATGCCAAAGTACTGACCTTGGCCGAGCATATCATCGCAGCTATGCCCGAGCACATTAAGGTAACGAATGCACCTGACTCCTTCAATTATATCTCAATTTACACAAATGTTTTTTTTTTTGTGTATTTTACAGAATGAAGCCGATGAGATGATGGTGTTAGGTAGTCCCTTAACGGAACCGCTTAATTCTGATTCGCCAAGCTTAAATAACGGCTTTATGGATCCGCTTGATTCTCTGCCTAACACACATTTTGAAAGCTTCGATTTCAATGATCACAGCTATCGCTATCACGATGTTAGTACACCGTGCTCTAGTCTCAGCCCGGCGAGTTCGGGGCCATTGCAATCACCAGCTAGTTACTCCATACTGGGCGCCGATCCAACGGTTAGTTCACCAAGCCCGCCGCCATCTACAAAGCAGTTGACCGAATTTTTACATGCCTCTAGTAATAGCCAATATCCATTTGAAGCAGATTTCTCCAAACTAACTTTAACAGGTTTGTAGAGCAGTTGTAATTTTTCTAAAATTAAATTCTTAGTTAACGTTATACTCTCTTGCACGTACTATAGACACGGAGCAACGTGAATTGTATGAGGCAGCGAAATGTATACAGAAAGCATATCGTTCATACAAGGGCCGTCAGAAGTTGGAGGAACAGAATAAGGAGCGTACCGCTGCCATTGTTATACAGAATTATTATCGCCGCTACAAGCAGTATGCATACTATCGTCAGATGACAAATGCCGCTCTCGTCATTCAACACGGCTATCGCTCGTATTGTCGCAATAAACGTTTCAAGAAATCACAATCCTCCATGTCCACGGGCATTGATTTGTCTGCTGGCGACAGTCAAAGCAGTCCAACTTCGCAATGTTTATCCAGTTTCTACGATCATTTCCGTAACGACCAGCAACAGCAACAACAGCAACACCTTGAATTCAATTCTCAGCCGAACACACCAAAGGAGACTAGTCCATCTGGTCCATTAAAGTAAGGCTTCATATCATAAATCATATTTATATGTGCGTTTCTTTAAATTAATTCGACTTATGGCGTCCGCATTTGCCAAATAGCTAGCAGTGCGGAGTGTTATGGATTCTAACTATCCAAATTTAAGTGAATAAATTTAAGCATGAAAGTGGAGCTGTATTGGCCATATAAATTTGTAGTATTTCATTTTAAGATTGAATATTAATTCTTATATTTGAACAGATGGTCGCAATAGCCGAGTGGTTAGCATTACGTACTGCCACTTTGAACGTCAGTGTTCGAGTCCGGGTTCGACCAATATACAAAATTATTGAAAATTAATTAAGTTACTTTTTCGAATTGCGGTTGTTCCTCGGCAGGGCATTTCAAGCACTACGAGTGTGTTTCTGATAGGAATTTAAAGCTCTAGCGGAAAAGTTCGGTCAAAAATTGCTTCAGCTAGTTTTCGACAAGAGTTCTTATGTAAAAGTTAACTTAAGCTAACTACTTTAAACGTCATATGCAATATTTTGACATCATCTATCGATCTAAGTGTATGCCAACAAATGTTACATGCATAAGAAAATATAACGTGTTTACACTTTCACTTACTGCTTTTCATTCTCTAGTTTGCCTGTAAATAGTCCCATCGTTTTTAATGCTTTTCTAGGGAACTTATCGCGGCGTAATATGGCTATGTCATCCGCCAAAGTGGATTTTAAACCGCCTGCTAAACATATATACAAATCAAATATAATGTAAAATTGTATAGGCGAAGTTTGAGAAATCTTATGGAATAGACCTTTATGAAAAAAATCGTCGAACGCTTATGCTACGTCCAAAAATATTTACACAGCAAACTACTTGAGCTTGAAGTAATTTCTGTATATATTATTTTTCAGGCGTACTTATTCACAATCAACACAAAATCAGGCAGCCAGAAAAATTCAACAGTTCATGAGACAATCACGGATTAAGTAAGTATACATTTTAATGTGCATACATATATGTATGTATTTGTTTACAATTATTGAAATGTATTATAATTTCATATGGTTTATCAGGGCATTATTATTAGGTATTAAGTATTTTTAAATAATTAGATTTTTAAATAGGTAAATTAAATAGCGCTAGGTACAACAGAGGTGCTGTAGAGGATGAAAATATTCTGAATAGTTTGATTTTATTATGTATATGAAGTAGTACAGGCGGCCGCGGTAGCCGGGTGGTTAGCATTGCGTACTGACAAATCTCGATGCCAACAACATCCAAAAACTATGAAAAATTAATTAAAGTAAAAAACACCCTCAGCCGTTCGGAAGCGGCTTGGCATAAACTGTAAGTCCCTCAGTTTGTTGGAAAAACATCAAGACGCAAAACCACAAATTGAAGGAGGAGCTCGGCCGAAAATCGCTTCAGCGGTTAGCGCTTTTTATATATACATATATGAAGTAGTACAGTGTTCACTATTTATTGGAAGGTGTTTGCATTGGTTCTGTAATAATTTATTTATTTTCTGAATTTTTCTTCTATGAAGTAGGAATTTTTGCCATTTATAGGCACTATTGATATGAACTTTGCGCGCTCAGGAACGTGAAGGGTTTCTTTTAGTTTTTAATTGCTTGTTAAAAAATGTTCGGATACGTAGTGAGTTATTATAACCGATCGCTTAACCTCCTAACAACAAGTAAAAATTGTTAAAGGGTGATTCAAACGTGTCTACGTTTCGTGCTTTAATAGGAGATTTGTAAAACTTTAAAGAAATTTGAATAGTCTGGATCGATTACAGCTCATACAACAATTGAATCCAGCTGATCATTCAAACACCGTACATACGTCGATTGAGTGCTTCAACAACAAACAGTAGACGGCGATTTTTCAAACAAAATTTTCTTCAGCGGCCAGGCGAACTTACCACTCTGTTCATACGGAAATATTTAAAAATTATGCAATAAAGGCTCCGAGAATACAAAAATCCATCCAAAAAAGAAATTCCTACCTGGTGCGCTCTTTGGTCCTTACTTACTTTACTTACTTTGAAAGCGGCAACGACAATTTGACTGTGTTAGACTTTTTTTTGTGGATGTATTGATGAAAACGTCATTGTTTAGAAAAAAATTAAGCAAGGCTTGTCGAGGCTATGAAACAGCAAACGCATTTGTAATTTAAATAAATTTTTTGAAACCATCAATATTTGAAAACTGTACAGAATTATCTTTACTTTCCATTATAAACAACCGCTTTGTGTTTATCAATGTTTTACTTTTTTTTCGAAATGCTATTTTCCTAAAATGCTATTAAAATATTTACGCAACAAGAAATATTAATGTATACAATTTATAAAATATTTTATGCAAGCATTTGGGATGGAAATTTAACAACCTTGGTAAGGTTTTTAGAAAAATTTAAACAGTATTTAAGTGTTCTTTGCAAATACAATTCATAAAAAGAAATTAATATATTTAAAATGATTTTCTTATTTAATCTTAATTTTATTTATTTCATTTATCTTTCGATTAGACTGCAGAGAGAACGAGCAGAAAAAGAGAAGCTGGTGCACCAACGCAGGGCGGAATACCTTCAAAGCTTGCAGTATCAAGAACAACCGGAAATTGTCTGCCCACTCGAAAAAAAGTGAGTATAATTTTGCTTTTAAAAACTTTAGTTATGTATTTTTTTGTATGCTTCTCTTGAAATGACATATTTACTTTGGTCCGAATTATGTGCATAAGTAGTAGAGAGGAGTGTTGCGGAAAAGCAGTCATTGGCCAGATAAAAATTCGTACCGTTCCGGTATAAAACCCTAGCGAACGCGGAAACTTTTGGGTTTTAGTCGCCTCCTATGACAAGCATGCCTTACCGGCATACTTTAAGTACCACTTTTATTTGCCATTATATAATATAATAAATATTTATATATATTTTTGTTTACTTTTAAAGGGATAAAGCACATACAATGTAAGATTTATAAAATGTTGCCTATTGATGACATAGGGTGTACATTTTATGTACTTTTGTTAAGTTTAAAATGCCCGATTTCGTATATGCATCGACGATTTGCTCTTCCCACAGCTGCACGATTGTTAATATTACTTTTTATGTTTTCAGTGAAATGCCAACTGCTACCGCAACAAATGAAAGTCCCAATCAAAATGCTGGAAACAACAATAATAATAGCAATAGCAGTAATATTTTCAGCTTCAATTTGAATCAGAACCAGCATTGAAGAGCCAATTTAAATGAGAAATGCAAAAGTAGAATATGAATGTAAAACATCATTGGAACAACGAAAGCTCCTATCACATATGAAAGCTTATGCTTGCGTCGTGAGTTGCGAATAAAAATGGCAGTTCTTTGCTTACCAATTATTAAAGATTTACCCAGTGAAATGAAAATGAAACATCACATACATAAATACTTACTACATAAACATACAAATCCCATTAGAATGCATATATTGTTTACATACTACACATGCATAGGTACTTACTGCAACATTTACGATATACATACAAATATATGGTATATTTGAATAAAAAAAGAGAAGAAAAACATAAAAGTTACACAACCGTAAACCTATGACTAAATGTAAATCTTTAAATAGCTTTATCAAACCGAGTGAAACTTTCTATTCGAAACTTTTTGAAATAGAATTGTAGTACTTCTTATTTACTATTATATAATATAATAAATATTTATATATATTTTTGATTACTTCTAAAGAGATAAAGTACTGTATATTGTACATGAATTTAATTTTTTACTTTTGCTATTGCACAGTTCTGTAGAAAACTTAGTCTATCTCTTCTTCTTTCAAATACAGTTCCGCGAAAACAATGTAAATTTTAATAAGAAATATATACTATATTTAGCATATGAAATTAATAACGATGAGAGGGAGATGATGTTTCATATTTGATAATATATCTATGCACCAGAAAATAAACATTTTTTGCCTTCTTAAAAATATATATGTATATGTATATATATATATATATATATACGTATATTTAAATAAACTTAAGGAATTAACAAACTACTACTATCATATTATTAACTATTAACTAATTATGAATATCGATTAACTGCATACGTGTATGTATGTAGCAGTAGAAAATTAAACATTAACAAAGAAGAACAACATCAAAATACTTTTTACGAATTGTTGGAGTTTTTTCTCTTTTCTAATATTAAACAGCGAGTCGCTTATATCTTAAGAAGAATTTTCAGATCTTATATACCAACAAAGTATGTAGTTAAATTATTAATCAGTAGTAAAGGGTAATGTTACTTAGTTTTTCTATTTCATTATAAACTATTTTTCATATTTCAAGTTTCGGTTATTGATTTTTATTGTTATAAATACATAAATACTAACTAGTTAATAAAGATATGTGCTTACACATAAAAAAAGAGTGCAATTTCGATTTAAAGAATTTCAAACTTGAAATTAAACCACAACACTAAGAGAACTTATTAAAGAAGCCTTTGAAACTATAAAATAAAAAAAAACTTAACTGAAACTATTTTAGAAGAAATAATATATTAATGAAAAAAAAACAACAACTGTTGACAAATGAGAAAATTTAGTAATAAACATTGTAAACTTTTTAAACAATTCAATGTAGTAAACGAGAGCTATATTTATATTGTACGTAAATACATATAAATATTTTAAATCCTTAACATAAAAAAAAAATAAAACTAAAGCAAAAATAATTATTCAACTTTAGATTAACAATGCTGAGAAAAAGCATTTTCAAAATACGTTCATTACGTTATATAGCCAAAATAAAAATGTAAACTAAATATTTAAAAAATATTTGAATTTAGTAAGAATATACAGTTTGTTTTTCAAAAACAACTCTACTCTCTACTAAAACCAAACAACTTGCTAGTTATTGAAATAATGAAAATATATATGCTTTTAAAATTTTTAGAAAAAAAAAACTAACATAAAAACTTATACTTGTACTATGGAAACATATAAATATCGAATTTTAATGATCAGTTAAGAATTTTCAATGATTTCTAAAATCAAAATTATTATCAACTGAAATCTAGAAACTTAAAACTCCACAAAACGTTGCCTTGGTAGCAGCGTTTGAGATACTAAAACGGTAAAATGTGCTTACGAAATGAAAAAAAAAAATTAATAAATAAAAATAAAAATTATGTACATATATGTACTCTACGTATGTATACATAGTATGTACATATATAATATATAACGCTGAGAGCTTGTACAGATTAGCGAGGTAGTAGAACGCAAATAGACAGTCAAGAGTTAGTTTTTCCCTCTACGCAGCGTATGGAATTGAGTTGTAATGCATTGAATTGACTAAAAGAAAAAAGTATTCTTAAAATAATAGTAAATTTAAATAAATATTTTTAAACTATGGTGCAACATTTCTTTTAAATGTGATTATATATATATATTATATATTCGCTCCCACTATTTATTAAAATATTATATTCCTATTCCTTAACATAAATGAAAAAGAGAAACACGTAAACAATTAAATAGATAAAAACTTATTGTATTGAAAACTAAATAAAAATTAAAAAAATATCGATAACTTTTTATTATACTAGTTTCTAAGTTGTTTTCAAAAATTTTACTCTCATATTATTCTAAACTGAACAATGTAAACTACTACAATACATACTGCACATATAAACCATGTATAAACAATATAAATAATGAAAACGTAAAAAACTGTTTATTGTACTTATGGCATATAAAATGTATGTAAAAATTTGAATTTTATAATAAATATTGTATTATTGTAGTCGAAACAGAAACAACTTTCAATCACACTTCATTTACCCTAACACAACGCCTTAAGTTATAAACATTCGAAGCTTAAGGCGTGCAAACAAACCAGAAATGGTGGCACTATTCAACAATGTATTTAAAATTGTAAAATTACACACGTGCAATACATACGTAAATAAAAGAAAATTTTCAAATTATTTCAAAGGTTTAAGAGCTATTCTTCACAAGAGCGCCTGTGTAAATAAAACCGGAATTATAGTGCCCTTTTTTGCATTTTGGATATCTTTTTATGTGTGTTACTCATTTGAATTGTTCTTAAATTGAATCAGATAAAAACAAAAGAAAAATGAAAAAAAAAATACAATACAATAAAATGAAAACAAATAAAACTGCATTGAATTCAGTCAAATCAAAATAAAAATTATAATAAAATAAAATACAGTAAAGTAAGTCAAACTAAAGAAAATAAATGTAAAGAATATTCTAAAATATTAAATTAAAATAAAAAAAATATAAACAAAATACAAAATAAAATGAAATTAAAATAACAATATAATCAAAAAAAAAAAAAATTAAATGAAATAAAAATAATATAAATTCAATCAAATAAAAATAAATAAAACAGAACCACACAAAACCAAATAAAATAATACAAAATAAAATAAATTGACAAATTAATAACAAATAAGAATTAAAAAACAATATACAATAAAATATATAAAATGTAACATTAATATAAAACTGAATTCAACAAACTAAAATAAAAAAATTAAATTGAATAAAAAATAAAATTAAATAGAAAAATTAATAAATAATATCAAAAGATTAAATTAAATAAACTAAATTAAGTTAAATAATATAGTATAAATAAAAATATAAAAAATGATATGAAAACCAAACTAAAAGCAAACAAATACAAAAATTTCAACATTAAAATAATACAAAGCTTAAAAAAGTAAATCGGTTACATTAAAATAAAACAAAACGTAAATTAAATTAAACTGAAATCAGTCAAGCTTAATTAATTACAACAAATTTCCACAATAAAAAGGGTTCAATAAAAAAAAAAATAAAGTATTAACGAAACCAAATAATATAAAATAATAAAATGAAACTAAATAAAAAAAAAAAATGAACAAAATAAAATTTATTACAATAAAATAAAATAAAATGGAAAAATTAAATTAAAAAAAAAATTAAATTAAATTAAAAAAAATAATGTTAAATAAACTAAAAAATAGGAAAAAATATAATGCAATAAATATTAATAAATAAGACTAACAATTTAATATAATAAAATAAAACTACAATAAAATAAATACAATTATTTTAAGTTAATTTAAGTTAGGAAAAAAACATAAACTAAAATAAAATAAAATAAGACAAAACGAAAAATAAATAAAATCAAATGACATAAATAAAATCTAAATTAAATTAAGTCAATCATAATTAAATTAAAATAAAATATTGACGAAAAAAATACTATGAAATAAAAAAATGAAACTAAAATAAAAAAATTCAACCAAATAAAATTTTTTTTACAATAGAATAAAATAAATTAAATAAAATGAAAAAAAAACTAAATGAAAAAGATAAATTAAATTAAAAGGAAAAAGTTTAATAAAGTAAATATGAAAAAAAAAAATAAAAGGAAATAAATATAATTAAATAAAACAGACAATTTAATATAACTCCATAAATCTACATTAAAATAAATCCAACCATTTTAAGTTAATTGCATTCAAATAAAAATAACATAAACTAAAATAAAATGAAATAAAATAAAATAAGATAAAGCCAAACAAAATAAAATCAAATAACATAAATAAATAACAAAATAGAATTTAAATTAAATTAACTTGAATTTATATAATAAGTTAAATTATTCAAAAATAAAATAAAGTACAGAAAAGTAAAGTAAAAAAAAAACGAAAAAATATATTAAATAAATAAGTAAGAAATGAAATGAAGCAAAATTTTTGCAAATATAACAAAACAAAGTAAAAAAAAGTTCTTGATACTGAATAAAAAAATTTTTTTTTAATTAAATTGGTGAAAAAATAGAAAACAAAATATACAACTAAAAATAAAATAAAATTTAATTATATCTAAATTAAAATAAAAGTAATACTTTAAACAAAAATAACGAAATGAAATAAAAAAAAGATATAATATAAATGAAATAAAATAAAATAAAATAAAATAAAATAAAACAAAAGAATATAAAATAAAAGAAAATAAAATAAATAAAAGGAAATAGTGAAAAACACTTGAATTAATAAAGTATAATTTGAAAAGAAATAAAATGAGGTAAAAAAATATGTAGGTAATAAAACAAAATAAAATTATATAATAAAATAAAACTATATCAAAATAAATTCAACAAAGTTAAACTGATTAGATTATAATAAAATAACATAAATTTGAAAAGGAAAACCAAATAAGCAAAAAAAAATACCAAGATAAAATAAAAAAGTGAAATAAAACAAAATAAAATGCTAAACTAAATAAATATAATTAGGATAATAAAAAAACACACTAAAATAAACTAAATCATATAAGTAAAAATAAGCGCAAACAAGTTAATTTAATTTTATAATGTAAACTAAAATAAATTCATTTGAATAAAGTAAAATAAACAAAACAAGATATAAATCAATAAAATAGAATTCAATAACATAAAACAACAACACGAAGTAAAACACCTAAAATAAATAAAACATATACACTTATAAATACACAAATAAAATATTAAAATATCAAAAATCTAGATAAAATTACTAATTTGAAAAAAAAACGCCCAAAAATAATTGTGAAAGTGGTGGTGGTGTTACACAATGGTTTCCAAAACCAACTAATTAGAGATCTCCTTATATTTTTGTCAAATAGCTAGCTAATCTTACTATTGCATCTCTCAGTATAAGCAACCGACCATCAGGTCTGCCATTCATCTCATTTCATAGCACCATGTTTTGGTAATTGAAAATTGAAATCGTGTAGGCGTGAGAGTAAAAATTTTCGGGTACATATTTGCTGTGATTTCTTCATGGAATACAATTTCGACTGAAAGATTGAGCTGCATATATAAAAGTTTATAAGACTCAAAAAAAAAAAAAAAAAATGCTCGCATACCAAATACTCTGCTGATTGTACATTTACACATTTCTCTCTTTCTGCCGGTGGTTAAAAGGGCCTCTACATCCTTCGTTCATATTGGCAATTTATTCAAATTTTTTTTAATAACTACTACCATCGCAAGAAAATGCACTTCAATTTGAAAAAAAAATAAATGAAAATTTTGAAATTATAATGAAAACTTAAAAACAACCAAATTAAAGTTAATAAAAGTCAACTCAGCAACTATAGCAATAGTAGTACCAAAAGAAAAACCTTTTATGTAAACTGAGAGAAAGTTATGCGGCAGAGTGTGGGTGGAATATATATACTCATATGTACATATGTATGTAGTTAGAAGTAGATATGTAACTTTGGCATTGTTTTCGTCCGTCCACGTTGTTAGCTTTCATAAAGGAGAAAAGATGAATTGAAAGTTTGATGAAATTGAAACATAAATTTAAAAAAAAAAAAATAATATGATAGCAAATGAAATCACAGAAAATACATACATATTTAAAAGAAAAAATATTAAATTTATGTAACTCTCTGATGTAAATGCAAAAAAAAAAACATAATTAAACACAATATATACATATATACATTTTCTGAAACAAACAGTTGAGATATACCTAAGAAATAAATTATATGAAAATATATTGGGCAGTTATACACAGTTATACGTGTACAGTAAAAGTTGAACACCATAATAATTCAAAGCAAATAAATCCAGCACAAAATTTTTCAGAAAAATACTCCTACATATACATATGTATGTATGTACACTTAGGCAAACCTACTACATTTATATACCTACTACCTAATATTAATGCGCACAGACACAGTTACCTAACGTGTATTTGTGGTTTTAAAAATTAGATATCTATTATTAAAAGTAAGTAATGAGAAAATCCTTAACGTCTACTCTTGAGATTAACATCCCGTTCCTGATGACCAAGAAGATCAGATTTCCTACTTTAAAGTTGCCGTTCAAAATATAAAAACAAGACAAAATACACAAAAAAAAAAATAAAAATAAA